GAAATCCGGATATGGTGTACAAAAAATCTTTGCACCATTGTTTGCGGTATACCATCTTTGCCGCAAGTTTATTCTTTTCTGTTTGGTATTAAATTTATAGTTAAAATCCATTTATTACACCTTGTGATCCGTTTATTTGGCAATCGCCAATGGCAGTCAGCAGGATTTAAGAACATTTGTTGTTCGACCTGTTAGTCAAATGAGTCCCTGTACTCGGTTCTAAAGAACATGAAGACATTGTTAAAAAGGACCCACTGAATTTTTACATATCGTAATACTGGTAATACTGAAAGGTTATTGAAAAAAAATTCAGTACAGAAAATTAGCATTAAGTCGAAAATGATTAAATTTGATCAACATTGTAATATGTTTTGTGACTTATAAGGAATATATAAAATATTTTTCTTCACTAAACTACAATTATAAACTGAAAACAAAATCAGTTTTAAATGCCCGGAATGCCTTCTTTCTTATTTACATTTTCTTCAAAAACACCGGACCGTTTGTTAAAAAAAACTTGACGTTTTAAATGTAGCTCTCGAAAAAACCCGGACAATGTAAAACGCTGAATGTTAAGTGAAATTCATGGAAATTGTGCGTAGTTTGTGCTTAAGATATATATATAGTATTCAGAATAAGATGAACAGTCATGAATAAAACTATCATTCTTGCGAAATATCAGTTAATCGATCTGGTCACATATCACTCGAAAAAACCTGATCTACACTCGAAAAATTTAGACCGATTCACCTAATAAATACGATCTAAGCCGGATACTATACCTACCGTGTTACACGACATGATAAAATGAGACATCCGACGACCTAAATTATGCTTAAACAATAAACAAAAAGTAAATATGACAAAAAGAAACCAGAATATATTAAATTGAAAGGTGCAAGAGGCTAAACATCTGCAAGCCCTCTCCAAGAGAGAAAAAACATAACGTATACACAAATATAATGAAAATACAAACACATATTTCATTATCAAAACTACCTCACAACTGAATCATTAAAATAATCAACATACAAATGTAGTGTTGCTCATAAACTAAAACTGACGGCACGCATTAATCAAAATGCCGACAGCTACACATGGATAGACGAGCGCTTAACGTACAAGGGCAACTATCACATACATATGCAGGCTGAAAATAATGTTTGTTATATAATTTCATATGGTATGAATGTATTCAGCTTTTACGACCAATACGATGAGTTGGATCTTAAAGTTCTACCTATTAACATTATCCTGGCTCCAAGCTACTAAGCAGTGTAAAACAGATATCAACAATACCGATACTTAGAATTGAAATCAATGATAAAAGGCAAATTATGATCGTCAAGTGCAATCGATAAAGGATGAAAACAACACGTTAAAAATTGCATGCATCCGAAGCGCTTTTCTTGATTTACCTTCATCAGGAAAGCTCAAAGCCGAATATTTGAAAGTCAAGGATTTATATGAACCGAAATAGTTGATAAAAGGTTAAAGATGATCGTTCAAAATGTACGTTCAATGGTTTCATCTGCAGACATGGATGCTGATAGTAAGAAGCCTTAAAAAAATATAATCTGAAATCAAATTTGAGGGAATACACGTGTATTGAACAATTTTATTGCTTAACGTACAGTAGAAATAATTACACACGCAACCCCTTCCACGTTATTCGGCTTACTGCGAGTTTGTCAGTTTTCACTGTTACTCCTAAATGATAGGCGCTTTTTCAAGCAATTGACGTTTTTGCAAAAGTGTTGAACAAACACAATAGTGAAAAAGGAGTTAACTATCTAACTTAGAATTTCTTTTGTCCGTTTCGACCAATAAAATTCGAAATTCTCTTTTGATCAATTGTGAAAACCAAATATTTCTGAATGATTTATATGAAACGCTTAGCTTTAGTTCAATGCAGTTTTAAAAATTGTGTTTTTTTTTCAATAACTGCAAAATCGTAAAAATTTCAGGATATCTCATGTGATGTCCGATTTGTTTATAGAAATACAACCTCTTTTTTAAATTATTCTCTTTTTGCAATTAAGATGATTAAACTCGTTCCGTTCATTTTATTCTTACTCAAGAATGATCATAATCAAAGCGTTTCTTATTTATTAAATTTTTCTCCGCTTAGATCCGTCTGCCTCTTGTTTTAGTTTATACATTAACTATTAAGTAAAATTTTATGTTCTTTTCATTTCGTTTCGTCATATTTCGTTTCGCTTCGTTTCGTTTCGTTTCGTTTTAGCAAATTTCGATTCGTACTTTACAGATACCCCAAACGCGATAATGATACTATGTACTCTTTTTGCCCGTTTTTATATTTTTAATTTCTTAATCAAAAATAAAAAAATTAAAACTTTCAAAAAGCGAAATAATCAAAACTGCACGTTAAGTTTAGTGTTTTGAAAGTTTGATTAAATATGGTCAGTTTAAGTTGATGCGGTCAAATATTTTTGCTATATGCGTCAGCCTGGGGTATCAAAACTACTGAAATTTTGTTACATATCAATATATTGAACAAAAGGAGGACATGCTGGCACTCTAAATTTATGCGGACAAAAATTTGTAGTTGTTGTGTTCCAATATTGCTGTCATTTGTATTATACATTAAATCCTGACATAAAAATAGTTGCTGATTTACTATGCGGCTATAGAGATTTACAAAATAAAGTGCAAATATGGTCAGTTTTGGGTGATGCGGTCAAATAATTTTGTTATAGGCGTCAGCCTGAGTTATCAAAACTACTGAAATTTTGTTGCGAGACAATATTTTGATTAAAAAGAGGACATGCTAGCAATCTAGATTGAAATGGACAAAATTTTGTATTCACATTATGTTCTAATATTGCTGTCATTTGTATAAAACATTCATTCTTGACATAAAATTATTACTGAATTATTATGCGGCTATATAGATTTACATAATAATGTGCAAATACGGTCAGTTTAAGTTGATGCGGTCAAATATTTTTGCTATACGAGTCAGCCTGGGGTATCAAAACTACTGAAATTTAGTTACGTATCAATATATCATGTATATTGAACAAAAGGAGGATATGCTGGCACTCTAAATACATGCGGACAATTGTAGTTGTTGTGTTCCAATATTGCTGTCATTTGTATTATACATTAAATCCTGACATAAAAATAGTTGCTGATTTACTATGCGGCTATATAGATTTTCAAAATAAAGTGCAAATATGGTCAGTTTTGGTTGATGCGGTCAAATAATTTTGTTATAGGAGTCAGCCTGAGGTATCAAAACTACTGAAATTTTGTTGCTGGACAATATTCTGATTAAAAAGAGGACATGCTGGCAATCTAGATTTATACGGACAAAATTATGTATTCACATTATGTTCCAATATTGCTGTCATTTGTATTATACAATGCATCCTGACATAAAATATTACTGAATTATTATGCGGCTATATATATATATATATATATATAGATTTACATGATAAAGTGCAAACATGGTAAGTTTTGGTTGATACGGTCAAATAATTTTGCTATACGAGTCAGCCTGGGGTATCAAAACTACTGAAATTTTGTTACGTATCAATAAATTGAACAAAAGGAGGACATGCTGGCACTCTAAATTTATGCGGGTAAAATTTTGTAGTGATTGTGTTGCAATATTGCTGTCATTTTTATTATACATTCTATCCCGACATAAAAATATTTCTCATTTACTATGCGGCTATATAGATTTACATTATAAAGTGCAAATATGGTTAATACGATTTAAAGAATTTGATATGTATTGGAATATATATTCAGCTCGTTAGCATTGTAGCCATTATCGTTTTTTTTTTTAAATATAGAAAGGCAGATCACGGATAAATTTGTATATAAACAAGCAAAATTTTATGCGTACTTTATTTACAAATAGAATATAAGAAGATGTGGTATGAGTGTCAATGAGACAACTCTCCATCCAAGTCAAAATTTATAAAAGTAAACCATTATAGGTCTTCAACACGGAGCTACATGTACTTAATCATGTTTATATCACGGAAGTATTAAATTGAATTTATTTTTCTATGTTTATACCAAGAAACAAAGACATTAAAAAATATTTTAAAAAAATCGATGTAGAGCGGTCCTGGTTACAAGTTAACTTAGCGTTGAGCAGACCAGGCCAAAAGTTAACTTGAGATCAGGTCTGGTTCGATCGGAGTTGTCAAAATCAAAGTTAAATTGTGTTAACTTATGGCAGAACTGGTTTCGAAGTTAACTTATATCAATAGCGGACCTGTTTCTAAGTTAACTTTTTCGGCAGACATAAAAACAGTCCTAGGACCAAGTCCGCTTTTCAAGTTAACTAGATTGTGGTCCTAGGATTGGTCAGAGCAGTCCTAAATCCTTTCACAGGTTAACTTTGACTAGTCCAAATGACTGGTTATCAAGTTAACTTGCTGTACAGGTTAGGACTGCACCCGTCTGTAAACTATCAAATTCTTAAATAAGTTTCAGAATTTTAAAATTTTAATTATTTGATGAAATTTTCATAATTTCAAAAAAATTCAAAAATTTGGAATTTTGATATTTTAAAACTTTGATCAAAATTCTAAATAACTAAAATTTGAAAACTTTTTAAAATTTTAAATTGATAAGTGTTACACGGACCCATAACACTCTTTCAAAAGGAAAATGTTGAGTTGAAGTTTTATAAGGGTTCAGATATACCAAACTTGGTGTAACCTAAATCAAATGCATGTGCATATCAAATTCCAGGAGTCTCGTCATACATTTTCGTAATTAATATCTTGTTTATGTTATTCGTAGATCTAGGATATTGATTGAAGACCCTTAATTGAAACTTTGTATTCAACTCAAAACATGTAAAGAAACGGGACGATTTACAGCTTGACAAACTTGTTGAAGACTTTATAGCTATAGATGTCTGTGGTTATTTAATGTCACTAGGTAGCTGTCTCATTTCCATTTATATTATATCTCTTTATATTTATGTCCTGTATTGTGATAATATGAGATTTATTTCATCAGTATTTAATAATAGTTAATTTAACCTTTTAAGCGTACATTTCTACTAAACAATAAAACGACACAAGCAAGAACCACATTATTCATACCAGGTTCGACATTCACTTTCGAAAGAAAACGTATTTCTGTTGAATATTATGTATATTTCATTAATTACAATATTCTGTTCACTGGAAATATAAGTTTGACTCAAAATGTATTATTTCCCATAAAAAAAATGCTTAACCAAGACGTTACTGCATTTACACCTTTAGTTGAAATTAAAAGAACTAACAGAAACTGGTGTTTCTTTTTAAAATATGTACATCGGTAATACAATTAAAACAGCTTATGCAATGTAAGGAATATATGGATCTTGATCAGATTTTTCTGTGTTCAAAATCTCGACAATACTACGGAACCATTTTTCCTTTGCAGTGACTTGATCAGGTCTGGTCTTTTTCCAAAAGCTCGATAATACTACTGAAACCTTTTGCCTTCGCAATGGCTGCAGGAGACTTTCCAGAAGTATCGCTTATTTTGATTGTTGCCCCATTATTGAGCAACATCGTTACTATTTCAATATTTCCGCTGAAGCAGGATTTGTAAAGAGGAGTTTCACCAATAATGTCTAATAAATTAATATCAGCTTTATGCTCAATCAGCGAGTTAACAACGTGTGCACGATCGTTCATACAAGCGACATGAATAGGGGTAATTCCATTTTTATTCGCCAAGTTGATATTGACACCATGTTCGAGTAATAAATTGACTATATCCACATTTCCAGCGGTGCAGGCATACTCTAAAGGGGAACACTTGTCATTATCACATTGCATCACATCTGCCTTTGAAACCAGAAGTGTCTCAACCACATTTATATTTCCTTTGCAGGCTAACATTAGGGGCGTAACTCCATCTTTATTCGAAATATTTACATCAGTCTCTAAATTCAGTAGCATCTTTACAATATCATTGTAACCTTTGTCACAGCTGAAAAAAAGAGCCGTCCATCCTTTTATATTTTTCTTTTTGTAGTTGGCATTCTTCTTTAACAGAATATCAGCAACATTCAGATGCCCGTTATTGCAAGCTACGTGCAATGGCGTCAACATATCCTTAGTTTTTGAATTGACCGAAGCACTCTGGTCAATCAACAAATTTACTATACGTTCATTCCCTTGTCTACACGCTATATGAAGAGGTGACTCGACTGTTTTCTCCTTAACATTTATGTTAGAAAGATTTTTTATCAAAATATTTACTATTTCTATATTTCCGTTCTCACAGGCCGCATGCAAAGGTAGTAAACCGGTTGATGTGATTTGATTAATATCTGCTTTATATTCAATAAGAAGTTCAACAATATTTTTATAATTTCCAGTACATGCATAAAAAACAGGCGTCTGTTCCAATGTGTCCACTGCATTGATATTGGCTCCTGCTTTTAGTAACAGAAAAGCTGTATCAAATTGCCCATTAAAGCATGCCAAATGTAACGGTGTAAATCCACTTGCATCTTGTATGTCAATAGAAGCATGATGGTCCAGCAGTATTTTTGTTAGTCTTTCAAACCCTTTCAAACATGCTATATGAAGAACACTTTTGTATTCCCTTAGCATATACGTTTCATTGATCTTGACCAAGTCATCTTTCAAATTAATCAAATAATTCACAACGGGAATTGAATTTTTTTCACATGCAATGAAAAAAGGTGATAATTGTTCGTTGTTTAAAAGATGAACGTTTCGTCCCGCTTCAACAAGTAACTTAACTATATTAGGATAACCATTATAAGCGGCTAAGTGCAAAGGTGTGTTTCCATTTCCATCTGACATATGGATCATTCGTTTGTCAATGTTTATAAACAAAGAAACAAAATCATCGTATCCAAACAATGAAACAACGTGAAGGACAGTCAAACCATTTGAGTTAGTCTTCAAATGTATTTCCTGTTTATGTTTGTTTATATATATGCACAATTTCTGTCTAAATGTTTCAAATTCATTTTGATTATTTTCAAAAACATCCACATACAGTCCTTTTCTAAGGTCTTGCATGAGACGTGTAAAATAAGCATCTTCGTGTTCCGATGTAACTTTAATAACAGGAACGGTCTGTTCTTCTCTGATACAAGCTAATCTTACCTGGTTCTTAATAACATCAGTTTTACTGAACTTAAGTACCGAGTTTATCAATGTTTTTGAAATGCAGTAAAGAACTATATTTTGCATAGTCTGATGGATAAATTCGAAAAAGTCATTGTTAGCCTTTACGTATGTGTCTGTCATAGCCTCGAGACTGCTTATTATAAGTTTTTTAGATGGACGTATTCGAAATCCAGATTCTCCAAACAAGTTATTTATCAACTCTTCATTTTCAATATCATCAAAACATGATTTTTTAGCTATTTGTTGTTTGATAGCAAGCACAGCTAAAGTGATATAACGTAATTGTGATTTCTCCTTGTAGTTTTCTATTTCCTCTTCCAGGAATTGAAAAGGTAAGGTAAAAAAGGTTTGAACAGTAACAACATTTGTCGATGAAAAGATTGAACATAAAGAGGGAAGAAATGTATACATCATTATAATTTCGTCAATTAACGCCACAACGTCACTTTTGTCGATGTATGCCTCAACGATTTTTCGTTTTTCCAACAGAGTTAATCTCAACTCATCTGTAAGTAAATCGCATACGAGTGCTGAAAATCCAAAGCGTTCATATTTTTCAGGTTGCCAAATAGACTTTCTACACGTTAGTATTACTTTAGTTTTATCGTTATTCCTCAAAATCTTCTGCAGTAATGGACCACTTTTTTCCCATGAAACTGTTTCAGCCTCATCGAAAGCATATTTCCCGATAAAATCATCAATGACGAATACTTGGTTTGTACCTGGTAAATAATACTGTATAATATCTGATGACTGTCTTGCAGGCAAAATTGTATAACCATATTCGTTCTTTAATTTAAATGCTATGTGATAAGCATACGCTGATTTACCCGTCCCTGTTGGTCCTATAATAGCAATTACGTTTTCTGTCTGAATGCGCCGATATAGGAATTTGGCGGCTTTTGTTAAAACAAATTTATTAAGAACATTGGACCAATGTTGAAGTATTTCCTTTTGTAATTCTGTAAAATGAAAATAAATAATGTATTTTTAATAAGAATTGGACAAAATATACTTATCGGATTTTGTTGGATACAACATTCTCAAAAAGAAAATAGTAATACCACGGTGTGTCTATTATACGGAATGTCATCTGAAATACACGACATATTTATGTAATATGTTTTATTTCATATCGGCTAAGAATTAGCTTATTGGATAACAAGGAGCCACATGACATTCTTTATTCTTCTATAAAAAATTCCATCGGTCTTAAACAGAAAAAAACGGACGATAATGACCAGTTTTTCAATAACTATTATATAAATAATCATTGCTACTTTCAACGTATTTAATTTGAATAACCGGACTATGCCATATCAGTAAAATTAACTTACATTACAAAATTTATTGTGTTAAAGGTTACTTGACATTAATCTTTGTGTATCAAAGGTTTGATTTATATTACTGATGATCATACAATCTCATTTACGATACTACGCTTGTAATTTTGTATGACAGTTTCGCGTTTCATCTACATAAGACTCATCGGTGACGCTGTAATTTAAAGAGTTTAAGGTCAAATCAAAGGTAAAATTGAACATTATTTAAAAGTGATGACTCCAAACAAATGTGCTAATTAAGGCTTAGGCAGATTACGCTTTTGAGTACCTAAATATTTCGAAAAATTCTACATTTTATTTAAAGTAAAATTGCAGAAAAATTAACATATAAATGATATTTCATGTCAACAATAAAGTGCTGTATGGATAAAGGTTAGTTTGATAAAGTGGTAACATTTTCTAACAAGTACACTCATCCTTAAGATCAAAATTCTTTGATTTCAATCATAAATGTTTAACAAAAGTGCAAACACTGAAATATCTTGCCTGTTTTACTTATCATTGAATGTATGTTGAAAGTCTGTAACATGAAGGTTTTACTACAAGTATTATAAAACTTAACTTTATCAATGATCAGTGATAATAAGGTCATGATCATATAAAACAGGCCAGGCAGACATATAAACCAAATATTGTTGACTTGTTGCTGAAAGTATATGATAAACTGACAAAATAACAACGACTTGTTGCTGAAAGTATATGATAAACTGACAAAATAACAACAACTTATCATTGGCTGGTGAACCATAACAAATGAGGTAAGGTCAGATAATACCTTCTAGCGTACATGTACACTTTACAATTGTTCCACACACCCAACACAGTTGCCCTATTGCTATAATAATTTGAAAAACTGACCAAATTACAAAAACCTAACATTGACAAATGAGCCGTGAAACTGATGTCAAGGTCAGATGATACCGGCTAGAAAGACATTTTTACCTTATATTCATTCCATACACCAACTATAGTTGATCAATTGCTTATAGTACTTGAAATACAGACCAAAACACAAAAACTTAACATTGACCAAGGAAACATGCACATGATGTCAAGGTCAGATGAAACCTTCCAGATTGACATGTACCCCTAACAATCAATCCATACACCACATATAGTTGACCTTCTGCTTCTAGTATCTAAGAAACGGACCTAATGACGTAACTTTAACCTCGATCACTGATCCATGAATTAGGTCGAGGTAAGGTGAACCCTGTCTGACGAATATGTAGGCGTTGAAAGGAACCTATGTACCAAATTTAGTTATCATACTACAAATACTACATGTAAGTGAGAAATTCACATGACAAAAAAAAAACCGAAAATAAGGTCAAGAATAATGGACATATGACAGACGGAAACTACATAACATAATGTGTCTTCATACAAGTTATGAAGCATCCAGGTTTCCTACCTTGGGAAATATAAAGCTTTATACAAATAGTTTAACTCGCCGCTGCAGCCGCCGCCTAATAGTAATACACATGTCTCGCATTTCGCGACTGTTGTTCCAGGCGAGACGAACATGTTTTTACATTTATAATGTTACAATTTAAATAATTCATCATCTAGTCGCCCGCTCAAAATTAGATGACAAACTATTTTCTACATAACAAATTTACCTAGTACATGGTGTGGAACATTTTCTTCGAGTTTGCTTATTTTGTCCTTTAATTTCTGTTTTTCAACATCATTTGCCTCAATTTGTTTTTCCAAACTGGACTTTTCATTGGCTATAAGAGAAGCAATTTTTTCTTCAACGTCCTGTAATGGAATTGTCTCGAAATCTACAAAATAAAATTTACACTGAGAATATTTTACTGTTTATTATAACTTATTCCTTTACCTATGTATATCAATTTCGTCGCTAAGTTCCGATTGAAAAAAAAACTTGACTTTACTTTAATACACGTCTCATACAACACAAAGTTCACCACAAGGGTGACTAGGGAATATAAACATGATCACTTTTGGCGTTCTTCCGACCGACAGGAAAACCCTTTCCAAAGTGTGCCGTCCGTTTGGTTGTGGGGGATTTATAAATACGCAGCCACATTCAGTCAGAATAAGGACGATAAATCCGATCCCTCAAAAAAGAGAGTGCCAAGCTTTCTGTTCGTTATTAAATACTATGAAACACTAGGCTAAATTTCAGTCCCTATCTATTATATCTTAATTTCTGGTGGTATTCCAAACAGGTAGACCCCTATTTATCTTAAACTCAAAACTCATTAAAATGCAATTGTTCGTCGTGATACAGCCAGCTATGAGAGTCGATTCAAATAACACAGAAGACATACCTACTTTAATAAATAATAAATACTCCGCTTTACGCAGCTTCATATGACCGCAGAGTTCAAACCCGGAACAGTTAGGGCGAGTATGGATACTACATGTGAGCTTGATACAAAACTGAATTTGGATTGTGATTTAATATTTGACACATCATAGGTCTCTATCACACAATGAATGTGGCCAAAGAACGGAAAATTATAACTTGTTTTTTAAAGACAATTACCCCAACCTTCATTTTGTGGTATTGAACCCTGAGGTACAGTTTCAAAGAGATCCATAAACCTTTACTCAAGTTACTGTCTGGAAACCAAATGTCTTCGGACAACGACGACAACGACGCTGACAACGGCATAACATTATACGACCACAAAATTTTGCGATTGTATAAAAAGTCATAGTGATTCTGAAGTCTAATCCTTCAAATGTTTTTGTATCCTACCTAGGAATGTGAAGTATCTTTCACATAGATAGCTCTCTGCGTGTTAGAGTAGTTGTACGGAGTTTTGTTTTCATTTTGTTTTATATGAGCATTCCTGATGTAAATGTAGAAACAAGCTTCGGATAAAACAAATTCATTGAGTGTTATTTTCAATTTAAAAAATTCTCTGGCTAAAACAGCCTTAGTTAAAGTTTGACTTTTGATTGATTTGGTTATTCCTTAATACCCGTTTTGATCATACGGCTCGTCACTTGTTTAGGTGTATATACATTCTTGGCTTTTAACTTTTTTGAGGTATGGTCATTAATGATGAAATAAATGTAGAACGTAACTAATTTATAGAGTATTATTATCTTTTGTTTTGAATATATATGAAAATCAAACTTTAAACATATATTGCAATAATGTTTTAATAGATTTTTTTATTAATATTGTAAGGAAAAACTGAGGTTCCAAATTACACAGGCAAAGTCAACGTTAGATTGTATTTGTTATTCTTTTAGGTTCCTGTTGATCATACAGCTCATAACGTGTTTAGATGGTCAAAAATCATCGGCTCCATTTTTTCTTGGTATGAGCATTATTGATGAAGGTAAACCCCGACGCACATTTTTTAAAAACTTGTATAAAAGAGAGGCAAAAGATACAAAATGGATATTCAAACTCATAATTATAAAAACAAACTGACAATGCCATGGCAAAAAAGGAATAACGACAAAAAGAAAAACAACAGTATACACAACAAAACATAGAAAAGTAAAGAATAAGCAAAAGGAACCCCAACATGCTAGTGTTATTTTTGTTTAAATATGACTTTTGAGAACAAAAAGCTGTCCTGAATCTGTAACCTATTCCCCGAAGTTTTCATAATATTTACGTTTTATTATCCCTACCGTTAACATTTAGTAGAACAAAAAGATAAGTACAAACATAGCTACATAATCGAAAAATGTCAGACGAATTTGTTGTTACCCTGAGCTGTTGTATTGAAAATAGTATTTTTACCAGCACAAAATGTATATATGAAAACATATACATGAAACAGGCAATACTTTTTTGAATGAATGACATTAAAGAACACAATCTTCTACAAATGAATCATATTTATTTTCAAATATGATTTTTGTAAACTTATTAAGAGGTTGCAGTATAACATGTGGCAAATGTAGAAATAAAATATACAAAAGGATAAAATGAGATACATGAACTTATTTCGTCAAGTTCACTTGCTTTATCCGAGTGTCGTTTATTTAAATCTTTAAGAGGTTTTACTTTCCTTAGAACGTTAAACTTTTGTTTTCTGTTTTGGGTTTTGTGAAAATTTCTTTTAGATGTTTGTTGAAGTTATGATTGCTTAGTCTTGTGTATCCTGACACATGTTATTCCAGAGAAAAAAATGCTTTAGATGTTTTATAGAATTTGTAATGTCAAAAGGTTTAAAACCCTTAAAGATACAGGTGTATTCTTAAGCACTTGATATGTCTAAATAAGACTCACCAGTGGCACTCAAATTGAAACAAATGGAAACCAAAATCAGCAACGATCGGAGGAGCATTGAAATCAAACGATCCAAAAAAGTTGTCCTAAATCCCGTGCAGACCATGTATGTTTTATAATTGTTTATCAAGCCAACAGATAGATAACAGAAAATTAAAACATCCATGATATTTCTGTGACTTGTGGTTTCATAGAAACACCCAATTTTCTGATAAAAAATCATAAATAACTGAAATAAAGTAACACCAATTAAATGGGCACTAAGCAATTAACACGTTTTTTGGTTTAGTGCCAAGTAAATATTATATGCGTTTAAGCATGTCGTTTGGTAGCAAACCCAAGAGAGTCGTACATGTACAGTATACATATCTCAAAACGTGCGTTGTATTTTTCTAACTATGATTAAATATTGCGATAATTGGAATAAAATACGTACCTGTGCGTTTGCGTTTCGCTGTATACATATCTCAAAACGTGCGTTGTATTTTTCTAACTATGATTAAATATTGCGATAATTGGAAAAGAATACGTACCTGTGCGTCTGTAAAAACAATCTTGCAGAACAGGCAGCGCCAAAAGTATTACTTAAAATAAATGAAGCACATTTTGATCATCAACATAATGCATAGTATACAAAATTCAGTATATGACCTTTAAATATATATGGTTATACATAAAAAGGCAGTATTCATTTGTTATAAAGTACCTTACATCATACATACTTGGTAGGCAATCTGATATGGCCAGTTGACTTAACATTCCCATTTCCATTTAAATAAACAGTACCAATTTTAGTGGCTCAGATGCACATTTCGCTTCGACAATAAATGTCGCTTCAGTTATGTTCGAGACCAAAATATTTACATTCCAACCAAAAGAATATCCGTTTGTTCATGCCAGTACCGAAGTACTGTCTTCTGGGGTGGAAAGAACCCCAGGGGCTAACAGTACACCAGTAGAAGTATCGACCCAGTGGAAGTAATATAAACGTACAAATGTTCCTGCATCAGATGCGAATTTTGGGCTAGGATGAAAAATTTTGTCCTGCATTTTTTAGTTGTAATCTCTGTCCTGCCTTTTTATTTTTCACTCTATATTTTGGCTCTCAATAATGACGACTTCAGTATGTATACTAAAGAAATTTATCCTGTTGAACTTACTTTAAATAAATCTAATACTAACAATGACCACTGTCCTTTCCTCGATCTTGATATCTATATCATTAACGGGAAGCTTAATACAAAAATTTATGATAAAAGAGATGATTTTTCATTTCCTATCGTTAATAATCCATTTTTAGATGGTGACGTTCCCTTGTCACCATCTTATGGTGTTTATATATCTCAACTTGTACGATTCGCTCGTGTATGTAACAACGTATTAGATTTTAGCGAGAGAAATTTATGTATTACTGAAAAATTATTACACCAGGGTTTTCGATATCATAAACTAGTCAAAACATTTACTAAATTTTATCATCGGTATAAGGACATCATTCGTAAATATAACTCAACATGCAGACATCTTATACGTTCGGGTATTTCACATCCAATCTTTTATGGTCATATTCTTTACAAAGCACAAAAATGTCAGTATACACCTCAAAAGCTAACAAAACCTTTAAACAGACTTATTAAGAAGGGATATAGTTACGATACTGTTGTCAGGTCATTAAAGATTGCATATTTTGGCTTTAATATTGATTCACTTATAGGGTCTTTGCATCGGAGTTAAACATATTTATTCTAAAACCAGTTGTTGGCATGACACGGGTTATGTTCTTCTCATATATTTTATGATGGTATAATACTAAACCCCTAACAGGAGGTATTGTGCCTGATATTCATATGATGAAGACATAATCTTTCAATCAGTTTAATTGAGGTCTGGAGCTGGCATGTCAGTAACTGCTAGTAGTCTGTTGTTATTTATGTATTATTGTCATTTTGTTTATTTTCTTTTGTTTCCTATTCTGACATCGGACTCGGCCTTCTCTTAAACTGAGTTTTACTGTGCGTACTGTTGTACGTTTGTTTTTTCTACATTGGCTAGAGGTATAGGGAGAGGGTTGAGATCTCAAAAAACATGTTTAACCCCACCGCATTTTTGCGCCTGTCCCAAGTCAGAAGCCTCTGGCCTTTGTTAGTCTTGTATCATTTTTAATTTTAGTTTCTTGTGTATAATTTGGAGTTTAGTATGACGTCCATTGTCACTGAGCTAGTATACATATTTGTTTGGGGGCCGGCTGAGGGTGCGGGAGTTTCTCGCTGCATTGAAAACCCATTCACTACAAACCAGTAAAAGTCTGAAATGGCCTATATTTGTACTCGACTGTACTGATTTTTACTCGACCAGTCTGAATTGGTCTGAAATTTACTTGATAATACTCGACTGTAGTCTGAACCATACTTAACAGTCTGAACTTGTACTCGACCAGTACTTAACCATTTTATTTTCGTCTGAACCATGCTCGACCTAGTCTGAACCATACTCGACCTAGTCTGAACCATACTCGACCTAGTCTGAACCATACTCGACTAAGTCTTAACCAACCTAGACCTAATTTTTGTATCTATCTATTGTATTTCATCAATTTAGGAACTGTTTTTAACAGCTATTTCCCCTGGCTAGAAATTTGAACAACAATTTGAAATTCAAAATGTATTCAATATGGCATATTGAAACCAAAATTTCACAATAAACATAATATAAATTCAACACCATATTTATCAACACTTACACATATATATCACCTTTAAAATAAAAATAAAACAAGCTGATCAAATAATCTCAAAACTGAATTGTGACTCATATTTTCAATGTTATTCAAATTTTTTTGAATGTTTCAGATATATTTTATGGTTACTGGACAATTTTCACCATTTACTTAAGCCTTGTATAGATTTATGGTGTCAGTTGAGTTTAGTCAATAATGCAGTGAACATTTTTTTTTATTAAAATAGTATATAAAGCAACTTAATAAATTTTAAAAATAACACCTTTGTTTTGTAAAACCAAGAATTTAAGATAATCATGATAATAGAACTTCCATAGCAATCCTTGATAACCATTTAAAAAAGGAAATGTGTTCCAAAGTTGCAGAAAAAATTTATTTCAATTAAATTTAAATAACTTTTGTCAAAATTAAAGACATGGCATACAAGAAGCACTTTAATAAGGTTTATTTATCTCAGTACATGTGTGTTTTACAGGTAAAAAGAAAGCCCTTTTTTTCTTAAACTCGTGTATTACTTATCTAGTGAATTCAAAAGGCCTTGCGATTTAAGTTTTACAGGATGTTGCAATTTTTTAATGAATGTTAATTAGAAATTAATACTCTCTGACCAGGTGTGATCTTTTTAATGAGTTTGCCCCAAGCAGGAGGTATTACTTTATACTTTACCACTAATCAGAAGAAAAATTTATCTATTTCTTTAATTTTTTTATCCCCTTTTGATATATATTATATATAATATATCCCAAATTATAATAAAAATAGATATATTTCTAATATAAGGTTAAACAATTTCAGTGATTTTTTGGCTGTTGTTACCTCATTAAAAAGATAATTATATAACTATCGTATATAACCATGAAACCTATATAGTTTTTCTTTAGGAATTTAGGAAAATTAAGTTTAAAAAAAAACAAAACACACATTCCAAACAAGAAGCACCTTAATAAGGTTTTATTACCCTCAGTAAAGGTGTGGTTTTTAGTTAAAAGAAAATCTTTTTTTTAACAAAACTCTAAAACTTTAAAATTAATATAATTAAATTATTAGATAAGATAATTTAATTTAACTATGTCTATTTGATAAATCTGAGAATCATGTAAGGATGTAAAAATATATTTTTATATATAACTTTATTTTATTGTGGCTGTTTTCATGTCAGAAAAAAAGAAATTAATTTTAACAGCTAAAATTAAAAAAAATATAGGTTTTTTGGTCAAGTATGGTTCAGACTGGTCGAGTATTGTTCAGACCTTTGGTCGAGTATGGTTTAGACTGAAAAAATTGGTCGAGTACAGGTCGAAAATGGGTTAAGACTGTTTCAGACTGGTCGAGTAATAGTTCAGTCTATTATCAATGGCAAAGATAAGGGTCAAGTACAAATCAGTACGGTCGAGTATGGTTAAGACTGGGGTCGAGTAATGTCGAGTAAAATTCAGACCAATTCAGAATGGTCGAGTAAAAATCAGTACAGTCGAGTACAGATATAGGCCATTTCAGACTTTACTGGTTTGTAGTGATTGGTGGCCTTCGGCTGTTGTCTGCTCTATGGTCGGGTTGTTGTCTCTTTGACACATTCCCCATTTCCATTTTCAATTTTATATAAAGAGGGGAAAAATGTCTATACAAATGAACGATTTAATGATGGAATAACAATGACGTTTACACATATAGATACCATGACGTTACAAAAAGACTGCACCAACGCATATAATTCCCTCGGTACTTCGATTTCTCTTCACATGTACAGACAGTTTCAATCAAAATCTATTCGGTGTAATTAAACAGATATATCATGTAATAAAGTATTGGGGGCCAAATTTCCCTCGCCTAGCGGCTTGGGAAATTTCACCGTCCCTTGACTGGTATTTTTTTTCGCAAATACCCCTCCATAACATGATATCTGTTCAAAATTGCATCCCACAATGTCATAATTTGTAAAAGAAGACAAGGAACAATTTTGCAGAACATCAATACAAAACATCATAAGAAAGATTTGATGTATTGCATTCGATCAGCAAAGTTGAATGCATTTTTTTTAAGTATACAACATCGATGATTTAATATTAGCATATTCATAACAAAATGTTTTTACGTCTATGTAACCAATAATTCAAGAACAATTCCGCATTAGCTTTATTAATATTATTGTAAAACATAAATAGCTGCCTGTAGAATTGATACTTCAAAATACCTAGAGGTTTTAAAGAGCCTGTGTCGCTCCCTACATATATACGTATCTTCGACAATTTTAAGATACAGATTTGAAAACAAAACCTAAGCGTGATCACTATTTCATGAAATGAGGTCAATGTCAAATGAACATGTAGGCAGATATTGCAAAGATGGTTATACCAAATATAGATACCCTGTCACTTATAATAAGTGTGTAAAATAACACGATATACAGTTATTTCAGTTTCCCTAAACAATCGCAGAACAAAAATATTATGGTCAACGGTCATATGCTCGACAGAGAGGTTGCTACATAAGGCATGATATGTATCTTATACCATATCAAATATCAAACCTTTTTACTTTATGAGATATAAAACTTCATACAAAAAAGATTACATATTCGCCTTCAGATGAACATTCCTTTTTCTCTTATTTCTATGACATTCATTGCTGGCAAGACAAAAACGTTCGTTTAAATCTATTACTCACTTGGTACTGACAGCATACTCATCCACATTACCAATACTGCAACATATGCAGTCTTTCTATATGCTGAAAAGGGAATTAATTAAAGTTAGTCCCATACTGAGCTTATCTTACTGTTCACTACACTTAAACATAATGTTTTGTTATGGAACTTCCTGTCCTCATCTTCATAAATAAGCGTCAGTACGCCTATTGTTTATAAATCTTGTATCAGTCTCTATCAAATTCAAAGTTTATGGTATATAATTAACATCATGAACTTCAATGAGATAGGTACTGGTATTATTATAAGAGTGTTTTAAATTTTCTAAGCTCTCTTGATATATGACTGGCTAGAATTCAAAAATGATTTGTTTGAAGAGCTGGGTAAAATTTATTACCACAAGACAGTCAGTTCAGATTTTGCATCAAAAGGGCATGCTCTGCGTTTTGATACTCTCATACAGAGTTTTGACGCTTAGAATAACAGAGACAAAATTAGGTATTCCATATGAAATTATTTTACTTACATTGAAATCATAGTACTTTTTAGGGTTTTTTTTACTACTGTTTCAGTAGTTGTTAAGCGCAGCTCTAATATTCTGAAATATGTCTTATTCTTGTATACATATATATAATCAAAATAAATTGAAAGGCACATAGATATAAGAAGATCTGGTATGAGTGCCAATGAGATAACTCTCCATCCAAGTCACAATTTGTAAAAGTAAACCATTATAGATCAAAGTACGGTCTTCAACACGGAGTCTTGGCTTACACCGAACAGCAAAACTACAAAGGGCCCCAAAAATGACTAGTGTAAAGCCATTCAAACGGGAAAACCAACGGTCTAATCTATATAAAAGATAAGCTCTATATATACAATGTATGTCTACAATGAAGACAGTTTCTTTATAATAAAAACTATGTATTTCAAACTTACCTCGTACCTGTACGATTGTTATACATGGGATTATCTTTACGTTATCCAAGAATTATAAAATACTATGTTAACATTAAACATTTTAAAATTGATGCATTTGTTTTTAAAAGTTTCATTTTCTAGGACCTATATATATTTTAGACTTTTATATATTTTTTCGTTTGGGCTTGTATTATATTTTCCTTTGGGTTTATATGATCCGTTCATCCTTCTTCGACTCTTTAAAATTCAAGAGTCTTTCCTAAATTGAGGTAAATTATATAGCCTTCCAAATACCGTTTCGATCCCTAACATCACTAAGAGACATAAATTGTCGAAATCCGGATATGGTGTACAAATTTTTGCACCTCATGTTTGTGGTATACCATCTTTTCCACAAGTTTATTGTTTTCTGTTTGGTATTAAATTGATATTAAGATCCATTTTGTTAGATCTGGTGATTAATTTATTTGGCAATCGCCAATGGTAGTCAGCAGGGTTTAAGGACATCAGTTGTTCGACCTGTTAGTCAAATGCGTTTTGTTAAAATAGACGTTTTCACTTTTTTGGTCTTTTGGAAATTGTTGCTTGTGCTGTATTTAGACCCCTCTACCGAGAAATTTGTTTTACATGCACACGTATAAAAAAATGCGGTTTCTATCCAACGCAATCATAGGTTTGAACGTTGTTTTCAATTTAGACTTATATATATATCAGTTAAGAATTCTAACGTTTTATAACCAATTTTCAAATTTCGCATACGATCAACATACCTATTACATGATAGTCCAACGACAAATTGTCTGTCGATAATGATATTTTAGGATCTTTAGATAACCTGACAAAAAAAAGGATACATAAATAGAACGTGTAAATCGTATAATAAGTGATGGGATTATACGAGGCAATGAGAGAACATCCTGACAACAATAATCAAATCGACACACGTCTAGAGATACATTTAGGGGGTTTGATGATACAGATGGTCCAGCACTATTAAAATCTCTACAAAAAAAATTGTGAATAAAACTTTCATTTAAATGTTACAAGGTGTAGCTGTTTAATGAACACTCATTAATTTTTCCAATTCAGATTATGAAATCAAGCTGCATGTCTTCATTATTAGACTGGTTAACCGTTTGATAATATGCGAGATGATCCAACTAATACAAATTACATCTAAGAATAAATAGTTCTGTATTTTAGTAAATACGTATAAATGCCTTATTATGTTTCGGAGTTTAGTGTGACATCCATTTTCGCTGAACTATTATACATGTCTAAGGGACTAGCTGCTCTTTGGTCGGGTTGTTGTCTCTTTGACAATTCTCCGTTTCCATTCTCAATTTTACTTATTCAAAATCGTTTGGTAAACCCAATTTGTTTAAAATAAATATATGAAATCAATGTGGTCCCAAAAATAGATAACGTGTACATTTAAGTCCCAGTAGAACTGTACAAGGTTATTATTTATATTATGTACTAGTAACATGATGTAAAGATGTGTACATGTTTGCCAACAGTACAGCAAAGAGATACGAAATGTGTCTGCAGAAAAAACAGAAATACATGTATATCATTTGCGATAATTAACCTCTGTTCCTGTGGTAGATTGTTTTAGGAATAATGACCAGTGTTTACGAAAAGATACGATTTATGAAAACTGTGCGATGTTATACCAAATTGATACATTAAAATTTGTCATGATTAAACACAAGTTCCGTTATCTAGCTCAACTACGTTCAACTTCAATCCAGAGGTTTTAAAAAACATATGTATTCAATAAACATGACATCCAAGGAAGCCAATCAAGGAGAGTAAGCATCGTGTGTTCCCTGCTGTGGATATTTTACAAGAAATACTCACACAACTGTTGATATTGAATCACAGTTAAAGCTGAGTTTCCACTCGTTCTCATTAAGACACTCATAATCTAAAATGGTTAAAATTAAAATAAGTTCATATTTGATACAAATTACTTATTTAGAACATCCTAAGCCAGAGTGCACATGCCGAAAAGTTTTACTGATCATAAATGGTTTAATATTCAAATTCTTAGAAATAACTTAAAGGTTCACCTACAAGTATCACATTGATCCAGGTAAATGATGTCAAATTCAAATGAAGCCTGCAAAACGGACTTGAAATGTCAAATGTCTCCATTAGCAGCCGACTTAAGTTCGTCTCATGATCACCAAACATGACATATACCTCGAATACGACACATTCAGATCATCATATATATGACAAAAGCAAAAATCTTCGTACACGACCGTTTATAATTCTACTACAAGACACGTTAATGGCTCTGAACAAAATCCCCTCCTCTTTTCAAAAAAAAAAAAAAAAAAACTACAAAAATTGAACAAACCTGTGAAATTTGAATAACAGATGCTCAATTGACTACCAAATAAACAAAATAATCTAACTATATAAGGAGCTACGATGCTCTGAATTGTAAATTGATTAATCTCGATTGCGGATTAAAAGGTAGCCGTTGCGAATTGGTAAACGTCGGTTGAACGACAGAAAGGGTTAAAAACGTATGTACAGTCATACCAAACAATACAAACGACATTTTTACTCAGTCTTATCATTCAATCCTTTCTTCATGAATTCGCACCATCGATAAAATATACCACAGGACTTACAATCATGCAACCCCTATCAGTAGACTGTAAGAAGGCCACTGGATTTGAAAATTGGGAACTGCGGCACCATGATTACAGCAACATTCGTAGTATAGGTATAATATTTAGTTCTTCATAAAGCTTGGTGCATTATGCCCCTTGGCATGAACGCAGACATGTTCGTTGTCTTTATACATTACCTAATATAAATGGTGTTTCTATTAAGTATCGTCTGCAATTTATACGGAAGTCGTTAGAAATTCATTACGTCTTCACGAAGCTTTATTTATCTTACCTCCTATACATTTCTAGGAATATGATTGATTTAAAGCAACCGCGTGGAGAGTCAGACCGTGTATATTCCATATCAGGTTAGTAGGCGGGGTTTGTTTCAATACACTGTTAGTATTGTTGTTACGTCCCTTTATAAAAAATAACATGGTGTTGAGGAAAAATCTTAAAGGTTTCAACAGACGAAGAAATTGATGACGAACGATTGAAATAAATCCATAAAACACACATGTTATTGTTGGCAATTGTTTTTGTATAGGTTCTTAATACTAACGGCAATGAAGACTTGATCACTTTGATAGGTCACTTGTCTAAATACCACATGTTAAGATAGTCGGTAAGATAAATTCGTTACATAGTGTGCTAGTGACCTAGTACGATATATATGGAGCGAAGCTCTCACCCCATATGGAATTTACTGACCCCATATATATCGTATTATGTCACTAGCACACTATCATGACTATGTAACTTATATTACTACCCCTATTAACACTCCATTCTCTTTATTGATGAGTTTAAATATAAACCTGCCGATTGCCGCTTTGCGAGTTCCCCATACATATATAATCCAGCATGGCACGATTAACTGGTGAGCTGAACATGCGAAATGTGTTATCCAAAGGCCCAAAATATCGTGAGCCTAAGTTTAAGCCTAAGGCCTAGAAACACAATGTCAAAGTAGTTATGGAGTCCTTCATATATGGATATATACATAAAATACGTATATACACCCCCCCCCCCCCCCAAAAAAAAAAAAAAAAAAAAAAAAAAAACAGAAATACATGTATATCATTTGCGATAATTAACCTCTGTTCCAGTGGTAGATTGTTTTAGGAAAATTGACCATTGTTTACGAAAAGAATACGATTTATAAAAAGTGTGCGATATTACCATATTGCTTAGATGTGGAAACGGATTTAGTAGCATATACCTGTATGCTAACATAATCCTCTCCGAAGTATGTAGAATCATTAGAAGAAAGAAAATGCTCCGACAATTGGCAATTCATTAAAAATACTTTCATACCTGGTGATAAAATGTTTTTAGTCGGACATTTCTTATGATAACAGGAACAATCTTCTTTAGATGGTACACACAAACATCGATGATTTGGTTGTGTTATAAAATCATAACCTCTCGTATAGTCACAACGGCAGGATCTATCATTTTTCTCTGTTCCATTACTATAAACAACTTGTCCTTCCTCACTGCAGTCAGATTTTTTATAAACGCAATGACTGTTTCCAGACGACAGGAATTTAAAAGGTTGGTAGAAATTACTATCACAATCAGTTCCTTGCAGTGTTCCTTTCGATGACCCAGCAACTATAAGTTTGTGTCCTCAATACAAATACATATACTTTTATAAAACATAGGAAAATAAAAGATGCATGTGTCTGCGGACGCAAATTCCTCCGCTCAATCTTGCTTATAATACGTGAAAAAAAACTTATTGAGAGCATTTGATGTCACTGCTAGTTATAATTGAGGTCTTTTGATTTTGAGTGCAAAACCGAACAAATTGCAATTTTCCAAGTTATAAATGGACATAACTCTAGAACGGTAATTGACTCACTGCCGGTATTCGAACTCTATCTGTGAGATTTGATTCTTAGCATTGTGTATTGTTGTCATAAAATTACATGAGGCGAACTTCAGTTAGATTGCGGAAATTCGAAAATTGCTATTTTCCATTATAAAGGGACATATCTCTTGAACTGTAGGTGATTCACTACCCATATTCGAAGTCTTTTTGGTTTTAAGCATTGTGTCTTAGTTTCATAAAATTTGGATGATTAAAACTTAAGTTTGAGTGCGGAAACGAAAATGGGACAGACGGAAGGACGGACGACGGGACAGTCAAGGATAACACATAATGCCCCCTTCGCCTAGCAGCGGGGGCATACAAATGCACAAAAAACATCACAGGCAGAAGAAACCAAAGAATAAAATCAACTTTGCTTGGTGGAATACATACACCTTTTATCGATTGCTTTTCTTCCTCTTTTTTCTTGCTGTATAAGAGAGGGACGAAAGATACCAGAGGGACAGTCAAACTCATGGATGGAAAACAAACTGACAACTCCATGGCCAAAAATAAAAAGACAAACAGACAAATAAAAGTACAGATGACACAACATAGAAAACTAAAGACTAAGCAACACGAACCCCACCAAAAACTGGGGGTGATCTCATGTGCTCCGGAAGGGTAAGCAGATCCTGCTCCACATGGGGCACCCGTCGTGTTGCTTATGTTATTACAAATCCGGTAAATAGTCTAATTCGGTAAGTCACATGTATGTGTTATCTCTCATTTTTTATACAATCTTACAAACACTGTAGTCCAAACGTGCTACTCTCTCGTAGTTGAAAATAAAGTACAAAAGCAGCACGTATAAACTACAGTTGTTGCAAGTAAGAGCAAGAACACTAAAAAAAATTTCAAAATATCTAATAATGAACAGTTAATTTCAAACTATATTTATAAATAATTTCTAAAAGTAGAATATAATGATGCTGTATCTATTTCTTAATTATGAATCTACTTTTTATTAATATTAATTGTAAAATACATCCTGAATTTGGATTGTGATCAAATATTTGACACAGAAAAGGTTTCTGACACAGAACGAATGTGGTCTCAGAAAATTAAGAAAATGCAATTGGACATGTACATGTACCTTTTATGGTCTAATATCCAAATTTAAATAGATGGATAGATTCAGCTTATCAAGGAACCCCAAAAAATAATAATTTATGAAATCAAACACAAAATTTAATTTTGGACTCTTTGGACCTCAATCTGGACCAATTTGATTACAGGGGCAAACCATTCAAAACCAAACACACAGTTAGATTCAGCAGATCTAAGTACCCCATCAATTCAATATTTGTTGAAATCAAACAAAGTTTAATTTTTAACCCCGATTTGGACCAATTTGAAAACTGGGCCCAAAATCAAAAATCTAAATACATGTTTAGATTCGGCATATAAAAAACTCCTGGATTCATTTTTTGTTAAAATCAAACAAACTTAAAGTTTAATTTTGGACCCATATGACATGTGAACCAATTTGAAAACCGGTCCAAAAATCCAAAATCTAAATTACACAGTTTGATTCAGCATAAATGTATCAGAGAACTCCAAGAATTAATTGTTTGTTGGAATCAACAAAGTTTAATATTGGACCCATTGGACCTCAATGTAGACTTATTTAAAAACGGGTTTCAAATCTAAAATCTAAATGCATGTACAAACATACTAGTAATAAAGAACCCCAAGAATTAAAGACTTTAAATTAAACCCCATTGAAATTATTCAAGAAATAAGCAATTAATACAAAGTACTAAAAAAATAATGTTTTTGTCCCCTTTTCCTCAAACGATTAGGACCATTACAAAACCTTCCTTTTTGGAATGGAACCTTGTGGTACAATTTCATAGAGATCCATAGATTTATACTCAATTTATTGTCCAGAAACATAAAAATCCTTGGTTTCCCCCCACCTTTTTTGTCCTTTATTCCTAAAAGGTTTGGGCCATAACCCCCAAATTTAATCAAAACCTTTCTTAAGAGGTAAGGAACATTTTAGTACAGTTTCATATAGATCCATACACTTACACACAAGTTACTGTACTGCAACAAGAAAAATGCTTGTTTTGGACCTTTTTTGGCCCCTTTTCTTAAACAGTTAGAACAATAACCTCCAAAATCAATCCTAAACTTTCTGTTGTGGTATGAAACATTGTCGCACAATTGCATAGAGATCCATATACTTACACTCAAGCTATTGTTTGGAAATCAAATGTCTTCGGACGACGGCGACACAGACAACATGATAACATTATACGAACGCAAAAATTTTGCGTTCGTTTATAAAATGAAAGAAAATAATAAGAGAATTTAAAGAAAATTTAGTAAAACTTCTTCAGCCAGAAAAAAAGAGGGATTTATTCCCAAAAAGACAGTGATTGAAAAAGGCCAATGGTATATGCCATTCCGTATTCTACGATTCATTTACGTTCCTTAAATGTGTTTCTTTTATTAGTCAATTGAAAACTATATGCACAGAAGAGGTAAATAGAAGAAATGTTTTTTCTGGACTTTTCATAGCCAGCAAGGTCCTGCTATAACAGGAAATACTTCGACCTAGTCGATTACTGAACCCTTAGTAAAAACTAAATAGCAATAATTTCTTTACTCTAATACTAATACTCTAATCTAATGATTATTGGTCTTTCTGAAATGTTCTCTTGATGAAGGTTCACAGATAAAAAACAAGTGAAATTCACCCGCAATATTGTTGCATTTAAACTGAGAATGGTTGACAATTTGACGAAAAAATAAAAGGCAATCTTGTATAACGTAAAAACTTTTTCAGAGTTGTCGATAAAGTTGTCTGCTGCCTTAATTCATTCACTAAAATTTTGAACTGTAAAATCAGTGATTGGTTTAATCACGAATAAAGGATTTAGAAAATAAATAAATGTATTTTCTATGTATAAATGAAAAGCTGAGCATTTGTAGGAAATAAACACAGAATACTCTACACTTTTGTATTTAATTTGGCCTTTGATAACAAACTGGTGAGTCTTATGTAGCAGAAACACGATTTGGTGTACCAAGTCATAAGCCTAGTGTCTTTGACAAGGCCGTAACTACCATTAAGGCAAGTGAGGCCTAAAATTTTGACACTGAATTTTTTTCTGTGTACATGTATTTGTTTATGGTAATTAAATACAAAATGTAGTCATTTGTTTTTTTTCTGTCTTAACCTTAATTTCCATAACTTGACATCATTCCTTTTAAATTATTCCTCCCGGATATAACTCAGCATCTCAGTCACCGCTTGATTTTTCTCGATTACATTAACCTAGTAACCGGTAATTCATCATGGATCTCTAGTTAAAAACAGGCTCTTGCAGAAAAAGGAAAAGCGATACTGAAGGTGAGGAAGGAATAATTTTAGTAAACTAATGAATGTTATTTGTGATCACAACCGGTGTTAAGAGTTAGTATTGAATATATTTTCACTAATCCAAAAACTATAAATAAACTGACAAATCAAGTACTGGGGCACAGCACGGGAGCAGTCCTGTCTGAGTATTTATTTTCATGTTTTCCCCAACTTTATTCGTTCTTAAAATTTGAGAGAACATCTCGTAATTCAATTTTTGCATTATTGAGGGATGGTAGGACCTTCAAAATGGGATTTCGTGTTGTCTAATTCGGAACTAGGGAATTTCGTGTCTTTCAATTCAGGATTTCGGGATCAGACTCCCTCCTACCCCCTAATTATTCGATTGTCGATCTAAAATATCTTACCACTGACTATTTCCAGATATAATCGGAAATCACGGACCTACATGTAAATAGCGAAAACTCCAGTCCAATTTCCCGGTATCCAAAAAAAAAATCAATTGTCCTAGAATACCATAAAACAATATAGTTATATCCAATTTCCCGTAATCATAACATTAAAAGGTATCATGTGGCAAAAAAAAAAACTAAAAATAATATTCCTAAAATAACATAAAATTACATAGGGGTACCCCCATATCTCAGTGAATTCAGATGACAAAGATATATTGATTATCCTATATTCCTGAAGGTGAAATTGCAAAGTAGATCCCAATATACCTTGTTCAAGGCTTAAAGCTTAAAATTGATATTTAGCTCTGTCCGCAATGAGTTTGAAATTAAATCAAACCGTGACATCTTCAAACTTTGCAACGATGCCAAGCTCTCTGGAAATGCCCAGAATGCAGGATTTTACATCATTTATCCCAGACCCCATACCAAATTTTTTTATTTTGATTTGCTCCTCTTGCTGATCAGTTCTGCCTCACTAAAATAATATGCCCAGTTACGGCCTTGTCTGACAATTTGTTTCTGAGAGTTTAAGTCCGTTACAAGAAAGACCGATTTGCAGAGGTTCCGAAAGTCGCCATATCAGTTTCGGAAATGAATCAGGAATTAAAATTTTCTCGCATATATGAAGACAACTCATTATGCTCATAGGTCTGGTTTTAATATGTACAACGTATGTGCAAAAAGAGGGACGAAAGATACCAGAGGGACAGTCAAACTCGTAGATCGAAAACAAACTGACAACGCCATGTCCAAAAATAAAAAGACAAACAGACAAATAATAGTACAGATGACACAACATAGGCAACTAAAGACTAAGCAACACGAATCCCACCAAAATCTGGGGTGATCTCAGGTGCAATGACGTTGCGCACGATGTTGGTACGAATTTCATTTTGCTATAGATTAGCATGAAAATAAATACGTAGACTGGTCAGTTCGATAAAAACATAGTGATTTCTGGTTGAAT